CCTTGAAGATGACCCTCGCTCTGGACGTCCAAAAAGTGCTACTACTGAAGAAACGATTAATGCTGTGCATGACATGGTTATGGATGATAGACAATTGACCAAACGTGAAATTGCTGAGGCTGTGGGCATCTCAGATGAACGGGTATTACACATCTTGCACGATGAATTACGTCTGAGAAAGCTGTTGGCAAGATGGGTGCCGCATTCGCTAACTCTGGATCAGAAACGCACTCGAGTAAAACTTTCTCAAGAACATTTGGCCCGTTTTCAAAAGAATAAAACAGATTTTGTGCGTCGATTCGTAACCATGGATGAGACTTGGGTTTACCACTATGATCCGAAGCTGCGACAACAAACTGCAGAGTGGACAGAACCCGGTTGTTCAGCTCCGAAGCAAGTGAAGGCGTCAAAATCGTCAAAGAAGGTTATGGCATCAGTTTTTTGGGATGCGAAAGGAATTTTATTAATAGATTACCTTCAAACCGGTAAAACGATAACTGGTGAATATTATAAAAATCTTTTGGACCAGTTGGATAAAAAAATTCGTGAGAAAAGACCTGGTTTGCTGCATAAAAAAATCATTTATCACCAGGACAACGCACCTGCTCATATCAGCGATGTTGCAAAGGCGAAATTGGTCGAATTAAAGTACGAACGCTTGGAACATCCACCCTATTCACCAGATCTGGCTCCGTCCGACTTCCACCTCTTTCCACATCTCAAAAAATTTCTACGTGGAAAGCGTTTCTCATCACATGAAGAAGTCATTGCAGCCGTAAATGGGTATTTTGAAGGCCTTCCGGAATCGCACTTCAGAGATGGGATACATGAATTGGAGAATCGTTGGAAAAAGTGTATTGCTCTTAAGGGAGAATATACTGAAGAATAAAGTCATTTTTTGAATCATAAAATTGTTTTTTCATTTCCGCTCCGCGAACTTTTCAACCAACCTAGTATATATATAACTCTTTTTATTTAACAAATTTTTGTGTTTAAAAAATAAAATTTCGTACTTTTTGTTTATGCATAAGTTACATCGTTTTGTTACAGGGTTATAGGCATCGCACTGTTTAATTATTTTTCACCTAACAACCGGGTTCAAGTTTTCATCTTTTAATCTCCAAACCTCCTTTGATAATTCAGTGTCATTTTTGTATTTGGGAATTTTAAAAGATTTTATGTGACTAGCATATCCAATTTTAAAAGATGATGCCAATATAAAATTTATTGATGGGAGTTGGAACAAGATCGTTGGAACATACATTAGCTTGATATACTATATTTTTTATACTCCCACATTCTATTTTTCAATAGAATGTGGGAGTTGCTTTAAAATACTAGATAGGTGGTTTGATTCAGCATGAATGTAATTTAAAAGAGTTTCCGGGTTTGGAGTAAGGTTGGTAGGTGTGGTTGTTGAGGTTTAATGTAATGTCCAGATAATTTACAATTTTTATGTTGCACTGTGTTGATATCAGAAGATCATTCGATTTAAATATTTTAACAACATGTTTTTTATTTTTTTCCATATGGGGACCACTGATGTTTTTAAAAATTGCCAAACCGTCATCACGGTATAACTCGAAATCATTCTTATTATAAAACTGCATAATCTGAAATAAAAGAAAAATCCCCACAAGTTCACACACCTCGGCACCATCAAAAGCTCCCATCAAAACATCAAATAATCTGCTTGACTTCTTAATCCAAACTTGATTGCTATCAAACAACAGTGACTTTCTGGCGTGGTAAATAATCGACTTTTGCTCAGGATCTATAACCAGACGCTGCTCAGCAAAACTAATAGCATTTTAAAGTAGTTTTTCACTTATTGAGGGATAAAAATCAACAATATCAAAAATGAGAAACTTATAAAAATTTGTATCACTGATGGACTTGAACTAGCATATAACATCTTGTGTTTTTTTTCACTGATTGAGGCGGAGTCTTTTTACAAGTTCAGAATTTATGTTTGAAAGAATAACTTTACTAATTCTGTAGATTTCATTTTTGGCAGGGTTTAATAATGGAACTGTTAGATTGTTTGCAAAATTTTCATGTGGTCTTTTAATGTTATAAAGCAGTTAGATGATGTATTGATATCGATTTTAGTAAAAATGTCATGATTCTGTAAAATGCGTTTACCTTCTTTATTTATATCATTTTTTACTTTTGAACCCGATTTTTTGTAAGTTGAAGTTACAGGATTGGTTAATAAATTATTGTAGTCTTGTTTAGATATTTGTTATATAAATTAGATGTTTTATCTGCAAAAGTGTAGGTAAGATTACAATTGCGTATATTAGATATATCTTCTTTTAATTTTTTCTGGAATTTGCTATAAACGTTACAAAATTTTATGTTTTTTATTAATTCTATTAATTCGCTTTCAAATGCACACATTTCAGTAATTTGTTTAGGGTAATTTGGTGTTTTTATTCCATAATTATTATTATAAAAGGTATTGTTCTTACTATTCTGATCATCATTAATAAAGAAAAATGCTTTCCAACTCATTCTTTTTATTAATGCTTCGGCTTTGCTGATTAATTGTTTTTTGTATTCTTTAATTGGTGGAATTCGAGTGTTCTTGACAAAATAATTCAAGTTCGTTTTTTCCATTTCGCAGACAACTTGAGTAGAGTGCTCAACATACAGAGCAATTTATTGTTGTTTATTATCGTATCTAGTTGAGATACAAATCTTCTTGTTTACTTGAGAGTGATCAATATAATGTAAAAAGAATTTTTACAAAATAGATCAATATATATATATATATATATATATATATATATATATATATATATATATATATATATATATATATATATATATATATATATATATATATATATACAGAACTCAGAATTAGGAAAAATGTGGTCAGCAATAAATTGCTGACCTTAAACTGTTAGAGGTAGGTAGGCAAAATATTTTGACACAAAGGCCCAACCATATAACATATATATATATATATATATATATATATATATATATATATATATATATATATATATATATATATATATATATATATATATATATATATATATATATATATATATATATACATACATCAGATGGGCGGCAATATTTTATTTTATTATTTTTTGTGTATTCTTCTTTTTATAAGAAAGCTGTATATATATATATATATATATCCATATAGTGTAGTCGAAAGAGCGTTTTAATGTAAAAAAAGTCTCTTACGACTACAATTTTAATTACCTCGTCTCTTAAGCTGTATTTGATTGTCGTCGAAATGTCAAAGCAATTAAATTAATGCGGAAGTACATTAAATTTTATTGTTTTTTAAAAATTTTTTAAAAAACCGCAATTATAACGACTAGAAAGTTTTTTTTTATTAGTGATGTTTTTGTTTTTATTTTAATAAAAAACATTTTTAAAACATGCGTAAATGTTGCTACATCGACTATCTTATAGCCTGACTCGCAACGGAGTGCTCCTACATTGCACTATGCGTTGCTCTTATACAAAATGAGGAAATAGGCATATAAATAAAGAAGGACTTAAAATATTTAACTTATTTTTTCACAAGACATCAAATTTTTATTTATATTTCTATATTTAAAAGAATCATATTCGGTTTTCATTAAAAAACAATTTATTGTATTTTTTTTCGGTTAGTCCGGACTAATTCTAGATTTGTCCGGAAAACTACACAAGTCCGGATGATTTTATTCAAAAAAAAGTAGGCGCCTATATTTTATAGAATTTTACAAACTATGCATATGAACACTATTTCAAAATAAACAGTATCATTGAATATAATAAACAACTCTGCTATCATATGATACTTGGCTCTTTGCATTCTTTTACAGTTTCTCAACATTCTATTCTAATAGATGTTTTTAATAACTTGTGGCTATGAAAATAGCCGTTTTTTAAAAATTCAACGCAAAACAGCTCATCAGTATGATTCTTCATGGTCTTACTTCCTAAAATAGATAATTGCTTGTTAAAATTGATTAAATTTTTAAAAACAAAAAAAAAACAAAAAAAAAACGCAACTTTGAATTGTTAATTAACCAAAATTATGAGATTGCCTAACCAAAAAAAAAATCAATCAAAACTATTAACAATATTAATAATAAAACTCTTTTACCTTTATTTTAAGCAGTTATTAGAAGAACTGTCACTTTGCTTTCTTAAACTATTTTGTTTTCACTCTTTTTTTATCCATTTTATTTTTTTTTGCAAAAGAGGTACATATCAGATGTCATAAACAAATAATTAGCTGTATCCCTAGTGTTTTCTGCAAAAGAGGTTAAACGAGCATGACCAATTCGAGCAGTTTTGTTTTCCTTATTTCTGGCTTCAATAGCACTCTCAGACAAAGAACCTATCGGATACTTAAAATACCTTATAAAAGAAGTACCATGAACTATCACTCTATGCACAGATTGTGACATAGGTATGGTTTTTAAAAATTTATCATTAGTTATGAGTGCAAATAGATGTTCAGATTTCTGTTTGAAAACCTTTATATCCGGTCTTGTAGTTGTTCTGTTTATATCAATGAGTAAATCTCGAAACAACTTAATCATTCTGATATCCAAGTTTAAAATTCTCCCTGTCACAATGGGGTTATTAAAAAATTTGCGAGCAACATTTCCAGTATTGGTTGTTCCACATCCTTTCCTGACAAAAGAAACCCTTATATTCAGTTTTATCTTGAATAAATGCTGGAATTTTTTTTTGTTTTCAATAAATTCTTTACTCTTTTGTGATGGAATATTTCTTCCTTGCTTAACAGCTGGGAGTTTACAAGCAGTATTGAAAATCCACTCCATACAGCGCATCCATAGATGAAGACTGCAAATTCCAAGTTTCAAAACATGATTGTTTAAGTTAATATTTTTTTTCCAAATAGTTTTCAAGTTAAACTCCTTAGAATTTGCAAGGCATACATGGCAGGACTGAGATGAAATTCTTTTTTTAAGCATATTTGATACAACAGCGTTTAGTGTTTTGCCATCATTCATTGTGGTATAAATAGTTGACAAACTAGACTTTACTACAAAAGTACTTTCACCAAGTTTAAATTCAATATTCTTCAATAAAAAAATTTTATTTTTCAAATGTTCAAATTTTTCCTGAATAAAACTAGCAGTCTCTTTTGCAAAACAAAAAAGAAGATGACGGGTTGCATCTGGACTATTTGGAATTAAATTCTTCCATATTATTTTTTCTCCACTTCGGATCTCCAGCAGTACAAACACTATACTATACACAGAGCGATCATCTCCACCTCTTTTCATAGTTGCTGAATTTTGAAACTCCGATTGATCACTTTGACCATCACATCCTACTTTGCAAATAATTTGTACATTATCACGCTCTTCTTGTGATAAACTCATTATGCAGTTACTTTTATAATCCAAAAGATATTCAAACACTCTAGAAACTGAATGCTTTATCATATGGAAAAGACTACATTTTACTTCGGTTTCAGAATATTCAACCTGTTCTGGATATGTCAATTTTTTGTATTGCTTCAACTTGGTTAAACCTGGAGGAACAAGATGACGATTATGAGTCACTATATTTTTAAATTCAGTCCATGTTCTATCTGTAAGTTTCAAATTACAAAGAGCTTGCAATGACAAATTTGAACCATATAAAATAGCCCTACCATCAGTAGAAGAATTAGATTTAAACCTTTTGACAGCATGTTGCAGTTCTTCCACCTCTCGTTCTCTAAGACTATCTGTTCTTTTACGCTTCATCCTGTTTGTAAGCTTAATAAAAGACTTTCTGGGTTTTGGTGTACAAGATGTATTGACTGCAGATGATTTAGGCACTCTACATGGTACACTATAAATAATAAAAAAATACATTGAAACATATATACATTTTGAAGGTTTTGTGAAACATAGTCAAACAATATGTATGTGTGTGTGCAAAATAAAAAGAGGGAGATACATTTATCTATGCATACCTGTTTACATTGGATCCATGAGTACGAAGCAGTAATTCCCCTTCTTTTATTTTACGCTCACCCTGCTTGATGAGTTGATTACCCTGTTTAATCAGATTTTCACCTTTTCTAATTAATAGCAGTTCTTCCTCATGTGTTCTAATCTCTTTTTCAGAATCTTTTTCTAATCTACACACACAAGTATAATATATATATGTATATATATATATATATATATATATATATATATATATATATATATATATATATATACATACACTATAATGCAATATTTATTACTTATTTATAATAAATCAATATAGAATATATTATACTCACAAGAGATATTTGGATTGTTGATTTTGATCCAAAAAAAGTTTATATTTAGTAAGAAAACTTTTTTCTTTTTCCACACTCATTAAATTTTTTTATTAAGTTAAAAGCCAGACTTTTGAAAATGTTGAAATTCACAGTGCAATCAGCATAAAGTGATAAAAACTTGGACTGCAAAAATTTAGCACATTAAGATACATTTTTACTCGTGAAAATATGCCTTGGAGGAAAATTATCAGCCAGAAGTTTGCTAAGATTAAAAGTAACCATTTTTAAAAAATTCTAAATCACGATGAGAGCCAAACTGAGGTTATAACTTAAAGACTAGAAAAGAATGTTCCGCCCGCATCCAGTTTCTTCTTGACAAAAACTAACTAACCGGTTTTTAATAAATCCACCTCTTTTGAATTGATTTTATAGCATGTTACTACAGAGGTAGCCAGAATATTATTTCACTTATAAAAAGTCAATTTGTTTGAGAAAATTTTTAAAAAATAAAAAACTGGCTACCTCTGTAGTAACATGGTCTAATCGATCAATCTTTACAGACACCCAAAAACAATGATCCAAACAAATTTTTTTTCTTTTCTTGGTTTTTAATTTACGAAATGTATCATTTATTAGAAAATGTGCAAAAAAAATGAAGAAATTTGAAAATTATCTTATGTAATTTAAAGATTTAGTGAAAACATGGGTTTTTTTACCCCTGAAAATCCCGCACCTAAAAAGGCAAATTTAAAAAAATTAAAAAAAAACTTTTTTTTATTAACTAATACTAACTTGTTTCAATTAAAAAATATTTAAAATATTAAAATTGAAATTTTTTTTCTGAAAAGTAAGTAAAATCCTATTTCCGCTTCGCGACGCATAGTGCATCGACTGACAAATAGCCTGACTCGCAACGGAGTGCTGCTACATAGACTGACAAATAGCCTGACTCGCAACAGAGTGCTGCTACATCGACTGACAAATAGCCTGACTTGCAAGGGAGTGCTGCTACATCGACTGAGGGTTTGGTTTGGGCAGGCAGTCTATCATTTGAAAAAAAAAAAAAATTTAAGTTTTTAAACTTTTTCCGGTCTGGTTTATTAACGCGCTCTTTAAAACTACAGTTTATGGGAAACTCTTTTCAACTACCATGCAAGAGTATATATATATTTATATATATATATAACAGTGATTTATAATTGATGAAAATCCTAATCCTAAAGATAAAGAAAAAATATTTTGGTACCAGCGAGACACCTTTCAAACTTAGATATACAAATCATTTTAAATCTTTTAATGTTGTGAAATACAGAAATGATACCGAGCTTTCTAAGGAGATTTGGAATTTTAAAAGAAAAAAACATAAAGCACACAATAAAGTGGAAAATTATAAAACGCTGTAAACCCATTAAAACAACATCAAAAATTTGTAGCCTCTGCCTTCATAAGAAACTCATAATTTTATATCACAAAGAAAACAACTTGCTAAATAAAAAAGACGAAATATTATTTAAGTGTTGACATTCCTACTGTCCTCTTTTGATACCTGAGACTAAATTGTTACATCTTTTATTACGTCAGAAGACGTTCTACCGTAATTTTTATTTGTGAAAGATTTTGTTTTTAAACAGTTTTTTCTGACGTTTTTTTTTTTTAATTATTTAATAGCTAATGATTGCTGTGTATGGCATGAAACTTTAAGTACTATTAACAATATTGTTTTTCATTTAAACAAAATTTATATATATATATATATATATATATATATATATATATATATATATATATATATATATATATCAACCCTCGGAATTAGGAAAATTGATATTGGCAATAATTTGCCAACCTCAATTTTTTCGTGATCAGCTTCAGGTCGGCATATTGATACAAAGGTCTTACCATAAAACATCAAAATGAGGTTGGCAAATTTTTGCCAATCTCAATATATATATATATATATATATATATATATATATATATATATATATATATATATATATATATATATATATATATATATATATATATATATATATATATATATATATATATATATATATATATATATATATATATATATATATATATATACTTATACATATATATATATATATATATATATATATATATATATATATATATATATATATATATATATATATATGTATATATATATATATATATATATATATATATATATGTATATATATATGTATATATATATCTATACATATATATATATACATATATATATATATATACATATATATATATACATATATATATATATATATATATATGTATATATATATATATATATATATATATATATATATATATATATATATATATATATATATATATATATATATTAACTTATTCTTTATTTGATTTTTAACAATATGAGTCACAAACACTAACAGTGATATGAGCTATATAATATATTGCACAAATACTAACATTGATATGAGCCACATAATATATTGCACAAACACTAACAGTGATATGAGTCACATAATATATTGCACAAACACAAACAGTGATATAAGTCACATAATCACATTAATCACTGAAATAAGTAGAATTCAAAATGTTTGATGAACCGTTGCTGCTGCAACCAATCATTGTTGTTTGTTTTTTTGTGTGTGTCCTCTTAGTTATTAGATAATCATATAAAGAAAAATTGCGTTAATAAAAAATTGAAATATTTTCTGAGTGGATGTTTTCTCAATAGATAACAATTATGAATGCTTTCATTTTTTTTTTTTTTTTTTTTTTTTGGATCCTTTTTTAAAAGAAAATTTTTGATCTTTTTTGTTTTGTTTATTGTTTGCGTTACTTAATTTATGGACTTTTCTAGTCTTTTTTTATTAAATATTAAACAAATTAAAATTAGAAAAAATAAATATTACATGTGGTTAATTTTTAAAATTCTTGATTAATAGAGAATACATTTTTTTAATAATCCATGTTTTGTATGTGTATATGAATTTATCAAATTTTTAAATATCTGTTGTGTTAATATTTTTATTGTTTAGCTCTCAAGCCTGTTTGCCATATTTAAAGAAAAGCAAAAATCCCCATATCCTTAATATCAGCCCACCTTTAAGTATGAAATCTATCTGGTTTAAAAACCATTCAGGTATAGTCGGCTTTTTTAAATAAAAAAACTTTCTGGTGCAGGAGTTATTTAGTAGGACTTTTTTCATATACTTCATTATATAATTTATAATCAGATTCTTAGTTATGGGTTGAATTCTAAATTATATATGCTGAGGTAGTTTTTTTTCTTTTTCAGCCTACACAATTGCTAAATATGGTATGTCAATGTGTGTGTTAGGAATGTCTGAAGAATTTAAAAAGGATGGTATTGCTGTCAATGCCCTATGGCCTAGAACAAGTAAGTGACATTTACAAACAAAATCATTTAATAACAAGTGCTAATTAGTAACAACACTTAGTAACAACAACACTTAGTAACAAGTAATGCTATGATTAATAATAAAGCTGCCCTAATTGTAAGCAAGTAAAATTATAAACAATATGACTTTATGTCTTATTGCAGCTGTTGCTACAGCTGCTGTAAATATGTTGGGAGGAGATAAACTTATGAAAACAAGTCGTAAACCTGATATAATGGCTGATGCAGCGTACGTCATTTTGACAAAACATTCAGGATCATACACTGGAAATTTTGCTATTGATGATGACGTATTAAAAGAGGTTGGTATAAGTGACAAAGAGTTGGAAAATTATTCTTATGTACCAGGTGTTTTTTATTTATTATTTTTTTGTTTTCTTTTAAAGTTCGTTTATCACTTATGCAAATCACTCATCATTTATATAAGTAAAATTTTACAGATTTTCTAAAGAAAATTATTTTAATAAATGTTTTATTTAATTTTATTGTGCAGGAAGTAAACTTACGCTTGATTATTTTGTTGATGGAGCCGAGAGTTTTTTTATGGGAATGGGCACAAAAAAGAAAGCACCAAGTAGTAGCTCATCTTTGAGCACCAAATCTTTGTTTAATAAAATGCAGACTCTCATTAACCCAACTATAATACAAGATGTACAAGCTATTTTCAAGTTTGAGCTTAGTGGTAAAGAACCTGGTACATGGATTGTAGATTTAAAAAATGGCTCTGGTTAGTTTATGTAATTTGTATTAGTATATAAATAAAAAGATTATGTTATCAACATTTTTCAAATCTTCAAAAATATTTAAGTTTTTATTTATTGTTATTTTAAATTTAATTAAAAGGTTCGATTGTTGAAAATCCGTCAAATGCAGTCGAAGCAACCTGTACTTTGGTTATTTCTAGCGAAGATTTTGCAAAAATGGTCAGCGGTGAACTTAACTCAATGCAAGCATTTATGAATGGCACACTTAAAATTAAAGGAAATATGGCTGAAGCATTAAAATTAGAAAAACTTATGAAATCTTTGAATAAATCTAAGTTATAAATAAAATTAATTTTTTTGTTTATCTAATTTTTAAGTGTTTATTTAATTATTTTTAAAATTAAACAAGTTGTTATGAGTACATTTTTTTGTTTACTTATTTATATCGCGTAGTGCACGATAAATAATGTTACCCTAGGAAAGTCTAGTAAGATATTAAATTTTTAAAAGTGATTAAACATTTTGAAATTAACAAAACTCGTTTTTTTATGTTGTGTATTCCTTTTTTTTTTAACATGTTGTTCTTTGAAAGTCAAAATTATGTTGCTAATAAAGTTTATACTAAGATTCCAGCAAAGTTCTAACTTAATTTTAAGTTTGGTTTAGACTGTTTAGGATGCATAATCAGTCCAAAGAGAACTTCATGGGATATTTGATTGACATTAGGGTCTATTCTATTCTAAATTATCAAATTGTAAGATTTCCAAAAAATAAATATAGTAACAATTTCTAGGTGTTATGAAAATAAAACTCTTAAAGATACCAACTTAAAAAAATTTTTATAGAACAAATAATTCTTATTCTAGTGAAACAGTGCGTACTTAGATTCACTATTTGGGCAGGTTAAGCTCTAAGTGAGAAGGTTTTAAAGAAGTTGCAAAGCCCTATGGCAAAGTGGTTTAGTTAGAACAGGGTTCTCACTCAACCTCAATCAACTCAATCCCAGGGAAAAAAAGGATTTTTATTTTTTTATTTAATATTCAGAGAAAATTTTTTTCCAATATTGAAAATAATTTTTTATTAAATTATTAACAATTATTTAAGTTATGATAAATTCGTAATTTATATTACCATAATTTTTTATGAGATTTTACATTTGATGTTAATTTTGTATGGTTTACTTATTTTATAGTTAAGTTATTATTTTAAGAAGAATTTTCATTATGGTTTAAATCGGGAAATACTAAAATACTGAGTAAAGTTTGATTTAATAAGTTATATAAAAATGTTTTATATATAAATTTAAATTTTTTCATAATTAAATCTTTAAGTATATAGTATGTTTGTAAGAAAAATATATTTTTTTAAGAGTTATTAATAAATAAAAAAGATCAAACAATTTTTTCAAATGATTGGCTTAATCACCCAGAGTATAAAGAATGGCTTGTTAAGACTGACCACAATAAAGTTGCTTGTAGCATCTATTGTAAAACCTTTAATTTGTCAAACATGGGAGATCAGGCAGTTAAGAGTCATAATGAAGGTAAAAAGCACCAACTTAATGTTTTAGCTAAATCCAAAAGTCACTTTTTCAAACCTTAAGATCAAAAATTAAGTCCTTGACCTTGACTTTCCACCACATCCTTTGGAATTATGAATTTTCTTGAATATTTTATAAATATTGTCATTTCATAGTTTTTCCTCTTATACCTTCAACTGACCTCTAGCATGAAATTTTAATAAAATTGTCTGGTGCAAACTGTGCTTTATAACAAAATAAAGCTTCTAGTCTCTAAAATTTTGTAAAAAGAACAGAATATATTTGTAACGTCTTCCTTGCTCTTCTTAACATAAAAATAACAAGTAAATAAAAGTATTATTATAATATTTTCTATAAAATATGATTATAGTCTATATAACAAATACTTAATATAATAATGCTCTCAGAAAACATGTTCTGCGAGGAATATTTGGCTGAGAACAGGATTGAAGGGGTCTGAATTGAGGAATAAAGTCTTTTTTTGTGTGTTCCTATTGGTGGATCACATTGAGGAAAATAGTCTTTTTTTGTATGTTCCTATTGGTGGGTCTGCTGAACAATAAACACAAATCTCAACATAGTTTGCTGAGTCGTACAAAGGTTCAACTGGTTCACCACAATTCGTTGGTCGAACAAACACCACATCTCGCAAACCTTCAGGCAATTCTGCATCCTGCAGTAAGAAACCACAAGAAAAACACAGACCATCTAGAGCATATTTAAGCAGTTGTCTCTCATCTGTTTTAAGTTTTCGTGAAGCATAGGTTATCCTCCACATACCACACTCATCACAACACAACATCATGCTGCTATTCTTGGTATCTTGTACTCTGGCATAGAAAGGAAGAAAACTGCCTTTAGCATTCTAAGGTGAAGGTCTATCATTTTCAGAAGTTTCTGTCCCATAAATATCCTCCAAAAATTTGAAATGACCATCATTTTTCATCATAGGGTCTGGAAATAATTTGATCTTTAAGAACTCTTCAGTAGACTGCATCAACCTGCCACAGATTTTACATTCTGTATTACCGCACTTTTTCACTTCAAAGAAATAGTGACGTTGACGGCAACAATGACTTAAATATTGTTTTAAAATTGGTGTCAAACAATTCAGACTAATTTTTCACTGTAACTTAAATAAAACTGAGAATCTATTCTTTTCAAAAAACTCCGCACTTCATTTGAAGTTCTTTAGAAGCTAACTGCATAACATTAAACTTCTTTTCTTTTAGCTGTAATCTTTTAGACATTTTATTGAGAAATATTTTCACAGTCTTTATCAAGTCCTATATATCTTCACGATGAATATTCTTTTCTGCAATTATTCTTTGTTTTGTAATACTATTACAGCTCTTTATAGCTTCTTTGCTACTGTCAACTATTTTATCACGTGTAACACTACCTGATTGAAGACCGATATTCAAGATTATTTTCACATTCAAAATCCCTGTATAGCTCTGGGAAGTTTTTGTTTCTTTTCTAGTTAGCAAAAACTGCAATTGGATATATGATTTAGATAGAATACAGGTACCATCAGATAGTTTGGCTGCAACTTGATTTCGCAAATCTCTAACTGAAACTGCTTTTGCTAAATGCACAACTTGTGAATGTTGCCTATCATCTACAGCAGTCCCGATGTCTTCTTCAAGAAACTCCTTTGCTTTAGTCCAAAAAGTATTAATTTCTATATGCCAACCAGCATAAATTTACAAAAATCGTATATCAGATCAGGATCTTTAAATTCAAAAATTATATCTACTCGATTATCAACTTCGGCTTTGGATATTGTGTCAGCAGCGGAAACATCACCGGCAAGATCTTTGTACATATGTCTTAAAATACTTATCTTAACAGAGGGAGTAATCAGACTATATTTTTAAAAAGCAACTTTTTGCATACACATCCTTCATACTAAATCTGCAGTAGCATATCTTATTTTTGAACACGCACTAATAAACCTATATATTGTTGCTTTTTTCTAAATACCGCGTATGCACGACCTTATAGAATAAAAGGTAAACCGAAGTTTGTAGAGCTAATTGAAGTCACAAATAAATAACGGCAAAGACAAATAAAAAAATGCTGGGAACTTTATTTGTGGCTTTCTATTGACTAAATTTGTCTAAAGCATCAATTCAAGTAAGCATTGAAGTATTAATTCAAATAACCATTTTTTTGCTCAAGGAAAGAGGTCTGAGCTAAATGTGTGAGTAAAATGAATGTTGAATGATTTAATAGGACCGCAAAAGATTGTCTTTTAAAATGTTCGTTGTAGTTAAGGAACGCAGCCATTTTAAAAGTTCTAAATTTTTTTAAATTAATTGACGCATGCGTAACTAAACAGCGCTTTTTCCTAATATCGAAATGACCGTACACGGTCATTTACAAGTGCTGTGTTTAGGTATGCATACGTAAAAAATAACTACATATTTTGAACTTTCAAATATTCAATATTCATTTAACTTAATATAAATGAAAAAAATTGAAAACAAAAATTTGTATCATAATATATTTAAAAATATTGTTAAATAAATTTTAGCTTTCAATTTTTTTTCATACCAATGATATTTTAACTAAATTTTGATAATTTATTTAGTATAAGTAAAAAATGAGCGACGATGACAGACTGGAACGGCACCAAGCACACCCTGCCGCGTAAAAATCAAAGACCTGGTACCAGCAGGCGTTCTGTGAATAATGGCTAACAGACATTGAACGAAATGGTTGGATAAAACCGGACTCTGGTAATCACTATACTACAATTTCTCCTGTCTGCTCCTTTGCATTAACTAATGTTAACAAAACTTCTTTAACAGCACATAGTTACAAATAAGCACTTGAAAATTTTAAAGACAGAAGCAAAACATTAAGTATCAACAAGTTTTTGCCAAACCAAAGAATCTAGTCTTCCAGAAAAAGTTGCTAAAGTAGAGATATTGTTGACGGCAGAACATAATACACCGTTTTTACAAGCCGACCATTTGATTAAATGCTGTAAACAGATGTTCCCAGACAGCGCAATTTCTAAAGAAATAACACTGAGGAGCAAAGAGGCCGCTTATGTTATGCAGTGCGGTATTGCTCATTTTGAGCAAGTTAAAGTTGTAAACATTTGCAGAAATTAAAAACTCTGTATAATAGTTGATGAGAGTAATGATTTTTGAGATAATTGTTGATAAGAGTCTCAACAAATCAGATGTAGACAGTTGTTGTGCAATTCTGAACACAAAAGTAAGAAAAATATTTAACTCACTATTAAACCTTATTGAGGACAAGAATGGGACGAGTTTTGGCTTGTTTAACAGCAGTTAATAAAGTGTTGAACAAACTTATTGAATAAACAACGTCATTGATTTTGCTGCAGACAACTGCACAACTATGATGAGTTCTGCAATTGGTTTTTAAGCACAGTTGAAAAAAGAGATTCCACATGTATTTGTTATGGGGTGTGTTTGCCATCCACTTGGACTCTGTGCAAATGTTGATAGTAACAGCCTGCCATTGTGGCTTGAAGTTTTTGTAATGAATGTATAATTTGAAGCTGTTAGAAACACGTTGACTGTCTCGAGAAGCGGTCATTGAAAGAAGTAAATAAAGTTATCAAATCTTTTAGGCAATCAATACTTTTGGAACGAAGCACATGCTTCTCTTTGTTGACAACATCCTGGGAAAAGTAAATGCTAAGAACATTGAATTCTAATTTCATAATTTCCGTATTCACAAGTTGTACAGCAGAGTAATCCGCAAGTATCATTTTCTTCTCAGTCTTTTTATTAAATAAGAAGCATTGTAGTACCATACTCTTGCCGACATTGATCCTTCGGAAATAACCACCCACTAAAAATTTGGTACCATTGAATTGGGTGGGCAATGTGAAGCCCAATTAATCGTCCAACCATTAGGAAAAAAAGAAATCTAGTTTTGCAAAGATGTATTGTTAATCCTGATTGAACTTTGCGCTCAAATAAAATGCAGGTTTCCATTGGAACAAAATAGTATTCTGGCACAGATGCCCTTGTTTGGTCCTAAAGCAGGTTATTCTTAAGCAATAACCCTTCTATTATAACATTAGCAGTGAATTTCCTAAAAATTATTGCAGAAGACTGCTTGGAGCAAATTTATGATCAATGGCAAAGTTTGGCTGTTTTCAAAAACGATCTTGGTTATTTAGCCGTCAACTACGACGAGGATCCTCCTGTATTCTGGCTGAGACAGCAAGAAGTAATAGACGCTAACAACCGGAAGAAATTTGATATTTTTTGGATCTTCGTGCGCAATCTTTTAGCATTACCACACTGTGTGGTAATGCTAAGAAATTGCATATGAGGTTTATCTAAGAAATTGCATATGAAGAAATTGCATATGAAGTTTAGAAGGGAAATCTGTGGTTCTCTCAAAACCTTGAGTGGTAACGTTGTCCGTAACAGCCATGAGTTGACTCAGTGGAGTATTATAGTTCATATGTATGTATATATGGAGTATATATGTAGTGAAAGATTCAGAATAAGAAAAAAGAAATGTAAAAAGATGCATTAAAAGACAGATAAATTAAAATAGATAAATAAAAAGAAAAGTATAGAAAAGTAAAGAAAAGTATTTTTATTGGTACTACTTTTTGTTAACATTTATTGTTGTTAGTTTACTTTATTATATTAAATATTTTGTTTACTATGTTGTTGTTTTTGCGAGTTTTTGTTTGTAGTAAGTTTTTTTGTTTTTTAAAGTGTGTTTTTGTTTGTTTCAGTTTATATTAAATTTATTTTTTTATTATTTTTGCAATGTATTTAGGTTATTATATTATGATTATTATATTTACTTTAAGTCTTTACAACTTTTTTTACAATAATTCTTTTCATGTCGTTAGTTGCTACGTTTTGTCAGTTTATTACTGTTTCTAACTGCAACTATGTATGTATAAACGATTGTTACATGAAAGTTAATATTGATTTTTTTAAATTATTATTACTTATCTTTTGTTGTTAGAACTGTTATACTCGCAATTAAATATGTATTTAATATTGCTGTAATGCACGTGTTGTATATATTATTATCATATTCACATACTGTAATTATTATTATTTGGCAGAGCTGTTTCACTTTTGAGCAAGTCTCAAGTCACTTTTGAGCACGTCTCAAGTCAAGTTTCAAGTCACTAAGGTCAATTTTTAAGATAAGTCTTAAGTCATATAGTGACATGTTAAGTAAAGTCTTAAGTCAACTCATATTACGATCTAAGAATCCAGTGCGTGTGGTGGCTGTCAGTACCGTGGGAGTTTGAAGGCCCCGTTCAAAATCTGTCATAAGGATCACAAAGTTCTTTTAAATGCCTCCACATAGGGGGGCTACATTCAAGCAGTCAAGTTGCAATTATAAAAAACAGCATAGAGATGATCATAATTATAAGTTTATTACATTGCAAACACTTCATTGATCAGTTCCTTATAGCAACAAAACTTTTAATAGGTGGCTGTGGTGTAGTTCCAGTCTGACTGACAGGTTTAATTCTACAACACAAGTACAAAGATGAGTTAACCCTTGGGTTCTTAGGCGGAAGGTTTTCTGGTAAAACCTTTTCGTCCATGGCTGTATGGGTATAGCTAAACTGCTTATTGCAGAACTGACGAATATTTGAAAGAATATTTGTCTTTAAGCCTTCAGCTTGGCCTGGATTAACATTTTTTTAAATTATTTTATTGTTATTTTAGGTGCCCCAAGGAGACCTAGCGTTCTTTCAACAGAGCACCGCGGAAGTGCATTTAACCAGGAGGTTCACGCCTCCTTCCTTACCGTGACGCGAAATTATGTCCAAGGCTTGTTTCGAACCTGGATTTCCTGCTTATAAATCAAGCGCTCTAACTATTGCGTCACGGCCGCTTCTCAGTCCAAAAGAAGCAAAAATTGGGATCCAAAACTGTGACGATAACATATACCAACTCATTAAATGGTAGTTTTAAATCTATTGATTGAAAAAACATTAAAAAAAAACAAACAGAAAATCACTTTTGAAATGCCAGTTTCCTACCGGTCAGATAAGTTGTATTAAGTTGTTTCAAGTGGCTATACAGCCCAACAATAGAGGAAACTACTGATGAAACTGTCACACTTTTTTCACTTTGAGTCACATTGGTGGCTTAAAAAAATGGTTGCAATAAATCAACAAGTTTTCTAAGTTGCACGTATTCTCTTTTATTTAGTTATAGATTGCGGTATCTTAAATTATCAAGTAGGTTTTTCAATTTATTTTCATCCAATGTGACAATGCTTTTTAAATAACGGAATGTGGAATTTCATCATGTTGTGTTTACTCGAGGAATACCCTGCTTGGAGCCAAACGTTTTACCAAAAGCCTCTTTAAATGTTGTACTAGTATGAAGCAAAGTATATATTTTGTATGCTTTAGCTGAAGCGAAATAAATTTTTGTCTTCACTAATCACCAACAGCTAATTGTAGGGTGTGAGCAAAACAACTTAGTTTGGTAACATCTCGTTTTGGGTTAATAGTTTGGAAACATCTCGTTTTGGATTACTTCGTCCGATGCCATGATGCCATCCCACAGGTCTTGATTTTCTATGCCGTCGTGAAGTTTCTCTGCAGGTCTGTCATTACCATCTTTGGATTTTTCTTGAAAATTTGTAGTGTATTTTTTGCGCGTGTTGGCGACATTGTTTGTTACAACATATACAAATTTGTCAAGTATTTCATATGTTTTACGAATGGATTCTGTGAAACATGTTCTGCTTTTTTATCTTTGGTACGAGCACCTAAAAATCTATTGCATGCCAAAAGTCGTGTGTGACAGTGTTATTTATGTAATGCGCTGTTACATCATGTTAACCCCTCATTTTTCTATCTGACCAAATAACAAATTTTAGGGAAGTGCTTGCGCCTGACATAATTTCAGTTAAGTTTTCTTTTGGATCTGTGCATGTTTTCTCTAAATAGGTTTTTACTGTATATTGACTAATAGTTAAGCACTGAGGACCAGTAACATTATTGTATTACCTGCCAAAATTCTTTGTTCTTTGGGGTAAATAAAAATAAATTAGTATAAGTAAATAACCTTATCTGCTTGAAAGTATGAAATCTTAGATTAGCCTGGTGTAGCAGCCGCGAGTCTTGTCAAATACAATATATATTTCCTTGGATGTGTTTTTAAATGGCTAATAAGGCTTGTAATTGAAACTCCATCGTTAATTAAAGCCTGACATAATTTACTTTGTGTCGATCTAGTTTTTTTTTTTTTTTCTACAACTCTGTATAACCAAATTTAACACACTTTAGAGTACTTAAAATTAGGACAGCGGTGCAAAGACAAAAAAATTGTGCATAGAAAAAAAAATCTTTGTGAGGAAACTCACAAAGATTTTTTTTATTTTTTTTGCTTTAGGTGCCCCAAGAAGACATTGGGTCTTGTCAGAGAATACCACAAACAAGCATTTAACCAGGAAGTTCACGCCTCCTTCTTTACCAATAACGCAAAATATTTCCAGGGCTCGCTTTGAACCCTGGATCTATTGCTTTTAAAGCAAGTGCTCTAACCACTGCGCAACAACCGCCATCGAAACCCTAAATATTTCAATATCAAAACCCTAAAACTTGTTTCTTGGAGTAATTTGATTTGTCATAAGTATGTTTAAAGATTGCAAAACTTCATGGATTAAGTATCAAACTTGAGTATGTTTATGCTACAATCAGATAAGAGTGCTTTACAATAAATTTCTTGATTGAAGCCAGAGAACATGTTCAATACTTTAAAAAATTAAATTTATCGTTTGATAAAATTTAGTTTAAAATAATAATAATATAAAACTCAGTAAATTATTGCACTCACATTTGTTGTTAAAGGGACTCACATTTGGGGTGGGGGGGGGGGCAATAATTAACTGAGTTTTATATTATTGCAATCAAAACTCTAATAATCTTTTTTGAAGTATGAAATTCTTAAATTGTTATAAGAATTTGCTAATTTAAGTAATATTAATGAAAGCTAAAGGTGATATTTACACATATAACTATATTACTCATACTAACGTATTATAGGTTTTAAAATATATACTACACATAATAATGGATCTTTTGTCTGTTATAATAATGGATCTTTTGTCTTTGATAATCTGACCTTTACAATTGATATGCCATAACCTTTACAAAATGTTAATCTGTAAATGGAATAAAGTAAAAAATCATTAAAAGATTTGATTTTAACGTTACTTTCGCTAGAGTTGTTAAAACACAAAAAAAATGGTAAGTTGCTCTGAGTTATTTATTTTAATAAGTCAATGTTGTAAAAGGTTTTCAAACCGTCAGTAATATTTAAATACGGTTGTAGTAAACAAAAGATAAGGATAATAGTAAAACTCTTTGTAATATAATAATTTCCTTAAAACTAATTCTTTTATACTATATATATACATAAATAGTTTTAAGTATATACATACGTAAAACTATATACAAATAAATAAAAAGTATTTTTTGATTTGGTTTTAGATTTTGTGTTTTGTTTATATAACCATTCTTTTGAATTTTTCGTATGGATGCATTGAGTTTAGTTTAAGAGCAGACGACGACACAGTTACTGTCGGTCGTAGCACTGAAAGTATTGATAAATTTAACACAAGAATTATTGCTGTTCCTCTAGAGCAAAAGCAATATGCAAAAGTCCCTAGTTCCTGTGGAAGTAATAAACTTGAATTTTATAATGGTGAAAAATACATCAAAGTATTAGGAGATTTTGGAAAAGAGCAAAAGTTTTATAGTGGTGCGAATGATGCTGGACTTTCAGTAAATGTCTTTTATTTAAACTCTTCCTCGGATGCCGTTCAAGAAGTTCCAGACGAATTTTGCGGCTATTCTATTTCTCAGTTAGATTTAGGAAACTATATTCTCTGTAAGTGTCACTATATTTTACGTAAGCTCATTGTATTTAACATTTTAATTTTGCATTATGATTTGTTATTTATATGTTGTTAATATATTCTTTATCTACATGATTACCTGTAAGTAAAAACAAACTTTTTTTAAGCAATATTTCGATCTGTAAAATACTTAGAAGAAGTCATTGAAAAAAAGCACTTCCCTTTTGTTTGGCCAGAAAAGCTGAATGGCTTAGTACATTCGTGTCGTTATTCCATTGTTGATAAGTTGAAAAACCATCTTGTGCTTGAGTATTCACCAAAAACAGGAATTACCGTTATCCAAAGCACGGGACTTCGCATTGTAACAGATACTTTAAATTATGACTGGCATTTGAAAACCTTGAAGAAATATGCCAATATTCAATTGAAAAATAAAGAACTTGAAATAACTCCCTTAAACCGAGGCTCTGAAGATAAAGGGAAAGATTTTACTCTAGAAGGAAGATATAAAAAAGTTATTAAGTCCACTTACTTTTTTAAAAGTCCAAGAGATTCAAACGCTGCAGTTGATCAAACATTTCAGACTTTTGATTCTACGGATATATCACAAGGTAAAATATTATTATTCATATTATGGCCAATCTATTGAATTTATTCAATTTTTTTTTTCTAAAATAATGTTCAATTCATTTTATTTAGATATATCTGATAGTTTAAACATCAACAAAGTTACATTATGGTCGGTGGTTTTTGACCTTAAAAACAGATGCATGCATTACCGTTCCAATAATGTATCTAAACTCAAATATATTTGTATACACGATATTGAACGATATTTTATGACTTCGACCGGTTTAGATGATGATCACGACATGAAAAACGTTTCTTCGAAAATGGTAATTATGAAACATAATGAAGAACTTTAACATTTGATATTATTAAGTAATAACGGAAAATAACAAGGAAAAATAAGGAAGAAAGACAAATGTAAAATTTTTAAAATATTTTTAAATAAATTTATAAAAATATAAAAGGTAAATTTTGTATTTTAACTGTTTTGACCATCTTAACTAAAAGAAGTAAACATTTATTATGTCACTAATCAAAAAAATAATAATAAAAAAAGATAAAAAAAATCTAACAACTGACGTTATAGTTGGGCGAATTAGTATGAGTTTTTTATTCTTAATAAGAAATTTTTTGGTGCAAAATTATGTTTAAACCTTTTAAATGATGTATTCAAGATCACCCTCTTTTCTCTAGTGTAGAAAAAAAGACTGTAAGTTAGACTCGTATAACATTTAGGCGTTTAGTTATGATTAGTGAATATTGAAGTTGTTCGATAAATTTAAGCTTTAGTTTACTTTGTAACTTTTTTCTTAAAAAATCCTTTTATTACAAAAAGTGTTGGTGGAGTTTGTTTTGCAATGAAGATTATTTTGTTACCACACCCCTGTATCTTTTTACTTGTTGATCCCGGAGCTAAAAGTTAACAAATAGCCTGTTAAACAATTAGTTATATATATATATATATATATATATATACATATATATATATATATATATATATATATATATATATATATATATACATATATATATATATATATATATATATATATATATATATATATATATATATATATATATATATATATATATATATATATATATATATATACATATATATATATATATATATATATATATATATATATATACACATATATATATATATATATATATATATATATATATATATATATATATATATATACATATATATATATATATATATATATATATATATATATATATATATATATATATATATATATATATATATATATATATATATAATCTTTAAAAGTCGTTTCTTGTAATACGATAAATTTTTAAATATATAAATTGGTTTCAATAAAAAGGCAGCGTATAACTATTTTTTAAATAAATTAACGATATAATAATATATTAACGATATTTTGCTCACCTAGTGTCATCAGTTAATGAAAAAAACGCTAAAAAATAACATAAAACCAACTGTTTAAAAAATAGAAGATATTATAAAGCGTAAAATATAAAAACCAATCAAATAATATACAAGTGACGTCAGTTAAATTTTGGTCAAAATTGATCCCCAAGTTTTTTTTTCACATTATCCCCGTCATCTCTATTTAGAAAAGTTTGCCCAATATCTATCTCGTGTCAAACTCTTACTTTATTTATCTCCAAGGATTCTCTAACTTTTCTTATCTTGTATTCAGGAATGACTGCCAAGGTCTTAGGATTCAGTCAATCAAAAGTACCACGGCATGTTCTAGAATATTCAGTGGCTTCTGAGCCCGACCATTTTTGATTTTTACAGGCTCTTTGGTTTTCCGCACTTCTTGAAATGATTTTGTTTTTTGACTCACTAATATATATATACTTCCGCATGAGCATTTAAGCTCGTAAATACCCGGATTTGTGTTCGATGATAGTTTTGTTTTGCTATTGCATAGTATGTTATTTAAATTAAAGGCTGAAGTAAATATAACTCTGATATTTTGTTTTCTAAATTCTCTTCGGAGATTAGGGCCAATAATAGGTATCCAAGGTAGTTTAACAAATTGCTTATCGAATTATTTAGTAATAGTATTAGTAATAATAATATATTTAAATAAGTCTTTATAGATTACATGACAAATAAATAAAAAAACAATCCAATAAACAGATTAAAAAACAAAAGCATTTTTTTTTTTTTTTTTTTTTTTGCTTTCGTTTAATTACAGTTTACGTTTATGACAAATGTACCTAAAAAGTCAATATTTGTAGCTGCTAAAGCACGAATTAATTAAATCAAACGTGCAGCTCATCTTCAGTAAAAGATGCACTGTTTGCAGCTGTAGGAAAAAAATACTTGTCAATTCTACTTTTGAATGCGTTAATTGAAGGAGCCTTTAGTACGTTGGATGGTGATCTGCGAATCACGCGTTAGTACGTTGGATGGTGATCTGCGAAGAGGTGGATTATGCCAATTAATAATTTCAAAACCGTTTTCAAGTTTAAACTGTTGGATCAAGTCGCCGCGTCGCCTGCGAGTTTCCAAAGAAGTAAAATTGAGACGCCGACACCTTTCAGCATAAGGTAAACTTGTTATATCATGAGGAATTTTTGTTGCTTTGTGCTGAATTTTTTCAATTTCTTTGATGTCGCCCTTTAAGTAAGGACACCATACATTTAGATGTAGTATTTTTTGAAACGCGGTCTAAATAGTTTTTGGTTATTTTAGAAATGATAACTTTTGTTTTACCCGTTTTGAAAGCCTTTATATCTGTTTTGAAAGAATGTATTTATGAGGAAATCAATTCCTTGTGACAGATATTTTTTAGAGCAGGTTTGTTTTGCTCTCATAGAAATCCTTTAAAGACGCCAGTGATTATGTTTGAGTTGATGTTAAAGTTTAGTATATATATATATATATATATATATATATATATATATATATATATATATATATATATATATATATATACATATATATATATATATATATATATATATATATATATATATATATATATATATATATATATATATATATATATATATATATATATATAGAGAGAGAGAGAGAGAGAGAGAGAGAGAAAGAGAGAGAGAGAGGGACAGAGGGAGAGTGAGTGTGAGAGTGAGACTTTAAGACCTCTTATTGAGCTTCTATGGGATTTTGCTCAATCAGTTTTGAAGCAAAATAATTTTTATTTAAAATGTTTTGAATAAAATTTAAAAATGCCCTTAATTTGGAGATGATTATAGATAAAAAAAAAAAAAAAAAAAAGCTAGAAACTTTATAAAGAGTTTAAATCAATAAATTTCCCAATAAATTTTTTTTTTCACTTAAATTTATAAGGTCCTCGACTTAATAAGTAAAAGTAAACAAAAAAAATTGTATGCTGGTAGTAGTAGCTTTTTTTCTTCTATTTCTATGAGGAATATACTATTGTCTAAATATCTTAGCAATAATTAAGATAATTCCTGTAACGAGCGAAGTCTTCATCTAAAATACCACTCAAGAACATAAGATTTAAACGGTCTGGAAACTAAAGCTAAAGTTAGGATTCCATAATATACCGCAATTACGCAAAAATTACGAATAAAGAAATGAGTGGTAATTGCAAATAGACAATAACAACAGTGCGAAGGTTCTAATCGAACTCAACTTGTCACGCCAAAAGGAAATGAATTTTTTGTTGAAACACTTGTAGCTGACTTCAAACCATTTGATTATTGTTTCCTAATGGGTATGAACGGAATAATGGCTTTTCATGGAATACCAATATCTGCAACTTGTGATGTTTGTTTTATAGGAAAAAAAAAATTATGTTTACTTTATTAATTATGTTTATTTTTAACACATTTTTGTATTTGGACTAAACGTACTGCTAGTCACAGTGAAAGCGATGTTGGATATTGCAAGACAAAACGATCTGGAAAGAAACGTCATCATACGTTGATGATATTTTTGTGAATAAAGACACCTGATTGTCGCGTACTTGACCATTTGTAAATGTAGTTTTTAGTTTAGTTTAGTTTTATTAGTTTATTTCGCCGTTAAAAATATTTACAATGTACATCAATATAAAAAAGTACAATTGGCTGGACCAAGAAGAAAGCATAATATTCGATATATATAATGTATATATTATTTTTTTTCAAAATAATTTGAAATTAAAATGATAAAATTTCTGTTCCAATATCATAAAATATATCAAGAAAATTGTAGGTAACTTCAAGAGTAAATAATGAAAGTATGATAAAGGCATTGAAATTCTTAATATTGACTTTGCTCTTTTGTTAAATGGTCTAGATTTATGGTGCTAATTTAGTTTAATAACTTCTAAAAGTTACAGAGAAAATCTGCTATATTAAAATCCGTAAGTACTAAATAACGTCTTAGTTTAGATTTGAATTGCGCAAATGTTTTTTCTCTAATTTTAACAATATGCTGAAAGTTTTTCCACAAAATTGGTCTCCGGTACTGAATAGAGTAAGAATATAACTTTAGATTATATTTTTGAGTTACATAGTTATTTTCTGAAAACTTGGTGGGGTATTTATAGCTTACTTCTCTAAAAAAAGGATAGAATATTGTTGAAGACAGTCCATGCTTTATTTTATACATGAAGTGTATGACAAGGAATATATTGATTTTAAACACATTTAATGCATAGGTTTCATAGTACATTTCATAGGATTACCGACGCACTCACTAGAAAATCTAGACTGAGAAAAAAAACTTCAAACAAAATGCTGATAAGAAGAAGACTTTAAAACATTGCAAATATAATAGAAGAATACTAATTCTATTATTAGGCTTGTCACTTTTGAGTTTAACTTGGCCGATGTTCTTACTAGAGTACTTAATAGTTGGTTAAAAATGGTTGATAAACCCTCAACAAAAAATTATAAGCATTACATATTAGAGTACTCATGTAACCATTAACTTAAAAATAGTGACTGAATATCACAGTTATTGGTAATGTTTTGAGGTATAAGTAACAAAAAACTAACAAAATATAAATTAAAATTGCCATAAATCTTTAACCTATCCCTCTGAAATTTTATCTAGAGTTTAATGCTACATTTGAACTAACTTTTATCAAATTATATAAAGTGGTTCTCATTTACAGGTGTTTTTATTGTCGCATTATAAATTCAAAATTTCACTTAATTCAAAAATTTCATAAATTAAATTATTTTCCGTTAACAAAATTAAAAGATTTAAAAATTTGCATCACAGAGTATCTTGATGTAATACTATGTGATGCAAAGGGGTGATCAAGATACTCTGTGCATCACAGAGTATCTTGATCACCCCGTATGTGGGGTTTTCTTGTGTCAGCTAGGTTGATATAATCAATATCAGTGTTAACCGTGTCATCGAGTTCATTACCATTCATAACTATAGGAAGATTTAGATTATTGTGATAAAAATTAGCTAAAAAAAAAAGGTTTTATCTGAGTGAAAGTTCTCCAGCCACTGAAAGTCCCATGTTG